ACACCCTTCCAGTCTCAGATTTTCCAGGTGTTTGGGGAGGAGGGGAGAAAGAACAGAAGGAGGCCAAGTGATGATGTCACTTCCCATCTTTTATACTTTCTTTCAGCTTGCTGGAAAGATCTTTCCTGTGCCATGGGGATCAGGCAGTTCACACTGGTCAAGCAGTCTCCATTGCACACGTGCCTTCTCTAAGGAATCTTTGGGATAGTGAATTACTTTCTTGATGGGTGTTGATGAGCCAGTAACACTGTCTGGCTACTGATGGCTACTCCTTTGTTGTAACTGAAAGATTGGTTGTGGGTCTCCCCAACCTCACAACATATATCAGTAACACATATTGCAATATTTCATAACTTCATATACAATGATAGTACATACAATCCAACAGGTTATTATTGTTCAATAGATCAAGCCTTACAAAATGATACCTCACTTTGTACAAAACAGATCGTAGTAATATCACCATGGGGGTTCCAGGTTGCTACTTTGAAGTACAGAGTGTCACACTGCCCTCTTGGGAGTGGGGGCACAGGAGCGTGACACATAGTGCTTAATTGTTTTGGCACCTCTGGGCCCGGCAGGTCAGAGCCCTGGCACCTCTGGGCTTGCTGCACCACTTAGGAATATAAAAAACCTGCTTGAACCCTGGCATCTGATTGCCGGAGCCCCAACTCCTCTTTCATTACAATTTAAGCAGTGGTGCCACACTGTTCTCTCTAATTTTCCCACGCATGCACGGAATGAATTTTATGTGCACTAATATGGAGGTGACGTGTCACTCATCACCTCCATATTGGTGCACATAACAAAATTCATGTGGCGGGGTGGGGCTGAGGGGTTTGGAGGGCTGGGACAGGGATCAGGGCTGGGACAGAGGTTTGGGTGGGGAGGGGTGAGGGCTCCGGCTGGGGGTGCGGGCTCTGGGGTGGGGTCGGGGATGAGGCTCAGGGCTGGGGCAGAAGGTTGGAGTCTGGGGCTGGGCCACGGGATAGGCGCCCCTCCCCCAGCCATGGCAGGTCTGGGGCTGGTCTGGGTTGGGGCCTCTCTCCCAGCCGCAGTAGGTCCATGGCTGGGGGAGCGGCATCTCTCCCCACTGCAGCCCTGAGCACCTGCGCAGCGCTTAATAGGCTGCCACATGGCTGCGCAGCTGAGAAGGAACTTAGGTGCCACACCAGCTGTGCCAATTGTGAAGTGGCCTCGTTTATGGGAAGAGCCGTCTGAGAGGGTCCCTGGGGTTGGAGGATGTCCCGGAGCTGATGCTGTGTGTCCTGGACTTCCCCCAGATCCGCCGCCAGCTGCTGTGGCCGTTCTGGTTACTGGCAGTGGTCATCCAGCCGAGAGCGCGAGGCAGGAATACGCGCCTTGTCCGGAGATGAGGAGGCAGCAGTGCGGACCAGGGGAACCAGCAGTACCTGTTCCATCTTTTCTTCCTCCTGCTCATAGAGGGTGCGGGAGGGCGGACGGGATGGTTGATAAGAGGCCTGTGCCCAGTGGCCTTGGCACAGATCCCAGGGAGGCCAATAGGGCCAAAAGAAAGGGTGTCTCTGGGCATTTGTGGGTCCCACAGGTAATGATCCCAGGCCGCCATGGCAGGATCGTAAGCTGGGGGGGGGTATGTCAGTCTGCAGCGTGAGTCCGGGCTCCAAGATGGGGCGGGGGAAAACGAAGGCTCCGTCTCTGAGAAGCCCTCAGACTCCAAGGGTGGCTCTGGGAAGGGCGGCGCCGACAGTGCCAGAGGCCATAGTGGGCAAAGGGACATCTCGTGCTGGCGGCACCAGAAACAGTTTGCTCACTGGAGAAAGGCGGATGGTGGCGAGTGGAGGTGCAGAGACCACGGGGTCGGGAAGAGCAGCTCCTCTGTCAGCAGCAGCGGTTCCAGGTGCCCAGGAGTGCAAGGTGTTTGGGACAATGCGGAGGGTCCAGTTGGTGTCAGCGGAGCCAGTGGGATGGGCGCCACCTTGGTTATCGGGGTAGTCGGCAGTACCACTGGATCTCACTTCTGCTGTACCTTACCCTCTACTCTGGGAAGCCTGGGCAGAGGGCTGGCTAGATCCACCCGCGACTTCTCACCCAACCGGCTCGGGGAGGAAATGCTGTGTTTCTGAGTAGTACTGGACAAGGATCTGCTCTTATGCCCCGCCCCTGTCCATAGTTCTTTCCCTCATTGTGGGGCTTGTCCAGCCGTCTTGGTACCCTCAGATCTGGTGCCTGGGAGGTGCTCGGAGGCGTGTTCACCACCAGTGATGGGTGGTGCACTGCTGGTTCTATTGATCCTGAATCTGAAGGCACCTGTGGGCACATGGCCTCCTCCATTAAGAGCTTCCGGAGGTGAAGCTCTCGAGCCTCCTGCATTTGGGGTGGGACGTACAAATGGTGCAGCGGGCCGTGATGCGGGTCTTGCCAAGGCAGTGCAGGCAATGCTGGTGCTCGTCGCTCACAGAAAACGAGCGTGGGAAGCGTCCCAGTTCTTGAAGCCTGGAATCTAGGGCATAGGCCCTGGGGATGGGGGAGTTTCCCCAAACGAGGGAAAAAACTAGACTAAACTATCTGCGAGTAACTAAGAACTATATAATACTAAGAACAACTATCTACAAGAAAAATGGACAGTAAATCACTCCCTTAGCAAAGCTAAGAGTGTGAAGGAACAGGGATTCCAACTCCAGCCATGTGGCTGTAAGAGGGAACTGGAGTGGTGTTGACCTGCGCGGCCTATTATAACCTTGGCTGTAAACACAAGGGGGGGCACACAGTGCACGTGCGCATCAATGGACACGGCCCACCCATGTTTGGAATCCATATAGGGATCATCACTCAAAGAAGAACTAGTTCTTTTTTGAACCACCATTATAGTTTTTGGCCTACACAACATCCCCTGGCAAGGAGTTTTCTCAGGATGACTGTGCATTGTGTGAAGAAATACTTACTTTTGTTTGTGTTAAACCTGCTGCTTATTAATTTCACTGAGTGAACCATGGGTTTTGTGTTATGAGGAGTAAATAACTGTTCCCTGGTCACTTTCTCCACATCAGTCATGATTTTATAGACCTCTACCATATCCCCCCTTAGTCACTCTGCAGCAAATAAGATCAACTATATTTCTGTAAAGCCATCACACATTTAATTGCCTGCCAAAGGCCTGGACTAGAGCCAACTTCTCCCCATGCTGTGTGGGTTTCATGTGAGAGTCAGATCTCCTGAAACTGGGGCACACGTAGCTTTGCGACAGAACATTTTAGTGCAGTGTGAAATCACAGCACATGCATCAAAATATCAGCTGTTCAGGCAACTCTGTGAGATAAGGAAAGAGACAAGTTGGTTCAGACCATTTCCTGGTCCCTCCTTGGGGAGAGCAGCGTTGGCTGCATACAAGAACAGCATTAGGCCAGACATTCTCACATGAAATAAAAATTTCTGCATAAGCTGATATTTAAAAATTGGCAGTGGACTTTGTTTGTTTAGCTACCATATGGCGGCTGTTGAGGAGAACAGATGTCCTCTGTGCAGGATCCTTCAATCTCTTGGGTTGGGTCTACTCTGGCTAGGAAATTCATGCCTCAATCTCTGCTTGGCAAACAGGTGTTGCTATAAGAATTTTACAATCTGTGGCTAGATCAGTGTCTTTAGCGCAGGTGCTGCTGAACTGGTGCAATGAACAGCTCCACTCAACCTCCTTGTTAAGAGCTGGTGTAAAATGCTGTCTAGAGGAAGCTGGTTTGAATGCAAAATAAGTTATATTTATCCTACAAAGCCCAAGAATTAAGCTCCATGTTCTACTTTACCCATTAGCTGTTGACCTACCCACAGATACCGAGCACTCCAGTAACACTCCCAACTCCAGCGCACAGGACAGTGGCTCAGGTTTCACAGTAATTACACTGTCATTCCAAAACAGCGGGCCCTCATCTTACTGGGATATCATGACTAGCGCTTGCTGCTGCACCCGAGCATGAGTATCTGCTCCTGAGAGACTGTGTTCATCCCTGGGCTAGCTCCCTGCCTCCCCGGCTTTAGCTTCCTGCAGCATCTGCTCTGGTGATGGAGCTAGGAGCGGGTCTGTGGCATAAGTGCTCTGATCCAGCATCTGAAGTGACAAAACAGAGGCAGAAATGGCCCTCAATCATCAGCAGGGCCACACAGCAAGGGGCAGGGAAGACCTGCTGCTCTAGGAAGCGACCAGAGTGCTAGGCCGTGGTCACAGGGTGAAGTCACTGAAGGTTTGAACAGTGACGGCACCCCCAAAGTTAGCCAATCCCCCACCTCTCCCATGAGGCACTGAGCTTCATTGTGGGGAGCCGGCCTGGGCCTTGCCTGCTTGCTGAGAGGCTGAGGCCAATGACATGCTGTGGAGCTGCTCTCAGGGCAGTGGGAGGTTCCTGTAGGCAGAGACAGGCTCTCTGCGCATCACATGCTGGGTTCTACACAACTGTGTTGCATCTGTTCTTTGTTTTACTGTGTGCTTGAGGGCTGAGTGGGTTTCTTCAGACCCCAAGAACAGCCATTACTGGGTGCTGCCATTGTTAATGGCAAGCCTGACAAGGATTGAGAACCCAGGAACTCATGCCCTCATTAGCAGGGGGGCAAAACTGCGCCAGAGAACAGAATTCCCTTGAGCTGTTAATTCTAAACTTGTTTCCTTCCCTTGCTGAGAATCGAGCTTCCAGACCCCATTAGGAGTCCCAAACTGCTCCTCCCATGCTGGGAACCCCTCCCCCACTCATGAGGACCCACACATGGGCAAGTAAGAAATACGTGTTGTTCACCAGACCAAGGCCTGGTGGACTGCGCTCAAGGGAGCAGCATGACAAAGTAGCAGCTCTTCTCACACTAGCTATTCTGCACTGACCTCTCAGCTTTCCCACCTGGCTGCAGGCCACACAAGCCAGCAAAATGGGAGACAAATGACTAGAACAGCACTAGGTTGTGTTGAGCATCCCACCATAACTTCCCCCCCCCCCATCAGCTTTTATCTGTAACACCTGATTCAGGACACACTCACTGTATGACTTAAAGAAACAATTTTATAAAAACAAATGACATTATATACAAGCACAAGTGATTGCTGTGCGTGTTCGACTAGAACAATTCACATACACCTATTGCTATTATTGGTGAATGTTAGCAGCATGTGATGGAGCATAATGAAGATAACATCAGTTTCCATAAGTAGATTTTTATTCCACACCCCTACAAACCTATCTATGTAATGTGGAGGGAAACTTCATACATGCAGGGGAAAGTATCTTTAAAGGGGAGGGAACAGGGTGACCCACAAGGCTTTCACAGCTCGGTGTACGTACAGCTGTTGTGTTTAATCTCCTGAGGGCTGGAGTGCCTTGGGTGCTGCTGCAGCCCTGGAAGATACATGGGGTGGGGGGGTGGGTGCATGTGGGGGGGAAAGGGGGAGTATAGGGTGGTCCTGAAATGCTGTTTCTTTTCTAATTAAGTTTTGTATGATTGGAGAAGGTTTCAGACAGAATTAAAACACAAATATCTTCCTCAAGAGAAGTAAACCCCTTTTCTTTCATGAATAATCTACAGGCGTACAAAAATTGTACTAATTTCCCACTCTTCATCAGTAATTTAATCCGGCACAGTTTACGTCTATACGAAAAAGTGAATGCCAGTGGTATCTTTGTTTCTTCCTTAAAACCATGACAGCTTTTCCTATAGTCTGAGGTTAAGCACCCTGACCCCCCACCCTGACTGCTCCCCCCAAAGCTCCTCACCCTTATACTACCACCCTGGCAGCTCCCACCCATATACCACAACCCTGATTCCAGCCCCCATATTTCCCCACAGCCCTCACCCGGACTGCTCCCTCACCTGCATATCAGCTCTCTGACCCCAGCTCCCTCCTTGTAGAAGCACCATGCCTGCCGATCTGCACCAGAGCGACTATTTGTCTCCCTTGTCTTCTGCTATGCTTGCTGCAGCTTTTTGGCTTTTTACACAGCACGGCTGTCCCCCTGTTATAGCCCTTCTCCTCCTTGCCCCAAACAAGTTTCTGCAGCTGGAGCAGACCTGGGCCTCCTCTGCCCCCAGACCCAGGGGATCCACCGCCTCCTGCGTTCTCCACGCCGGAGCAGGCTTGTCCTCCACGCCCAGCAACAGGAAGAGCAAGTTCAAAACTTCCTGGGGCTTTAAAAGGGGAGGGGGTACATGCCTGGGCACCTGGCTGCAGGGCAGCAATCTTCAAAACGTGACCCTAGTAGTCATAATGGACCGTGTGGGACACTTCCTGGAGGCCACTTAGGGCAATGGAAGCAATGCAGCATCTACATTGACGCTGCGTCGCTCTACCTACATCACCCGAGGCATCATGCCTCTCGCCAAGGTGATTTTACTATGTTGGTGCAGGAGCACCGCAGCATACAGACCTACCTGACGTTGACTTAACTTTGTAGCATAGACAAAACCCTCCGTTTCTTACACAAGATATCCTTAAGAGGCAGTTCTGACTCCTCACACGCAACAGGGCTTTTTGCTCCTCACACCTATCCAGAAAGGGGGACTCTGCAACCCCACATTGGAACATTAGCAATCCAGGAGATGCTGAGTTAAGGGCTGCTCACATACTTCCACTGATATCACCTGTCACTGATAGCCGAGGAGGGGGGACACTTACAAAACCCAGGAATGCAGAGTTAAGGTGACACTTCCCATATGTCCTTAACTCTGTCTCCTTCGAGCCCTGCCTTGAAGAATCCCTCAGGAAGACCATAGTACTGCACCCCTCCCTTCATCCTGGAGTTGTGCTGGGCACAGAGACAATGGAAGGTTTGGTTAAGGAGGACCAAGGCATTGTTATATTGCCAGTTTCTATTTCCCTCCCCTGCGTGGAATGCTGGGACAGAACAACACACGCACACCTACCCAGAAGAGGTGCAGCAGAACAGACAACTGGATTCAGCCAGACTGCAGAATGGCTTTGAAAGCCAGTGCACTGCAGAGGCCAGCCCGAGCAGTTCAGCAGCATTTTCATGCCATTCTCTGAAGAAAACTGTGCCTTTGATTTCACAAATGTGCAATACCCAACATGTTGAAATAAAAGTATTTAGCCACTATTCTACTCTTGCTAAGGCAGTAGTTGAATCAATGTCTGACCTGGCTGCGGTTTCATTAGTCAAGGGGAAAAAGGCCAGGGCGTGAAAGTTCTGATTTTCCAGAGCTCAGCACCTGAAACTAGGGCCTGACTGTCAAATGGAAGCTGAGCTCTGGGCCAGTTTAGCGAAAGTGCTCACCTCCTACTGTGACCTCAGCTATCACCCAACATGCTGAGTTCTGAAAACCTGGCCCCTGGGGTTTGTCTAGGCTAGAGTTTGTGGCCCTGTTGCAACTCAGTTAACTACCAATTAATGCAAGTTAACTAATAGGACTGTAAATGCTAGTCTAGATACTTCACAAAGGTCTGTTGCAGGAGTCAAAAGTTTGAGGTTTGGCCTGGCGGTCTGTGATAAAGATGCTAGCACAAAATACAGCACAAAGGTGGCTTTTAAAAATCAAATTAACTCGTCTGATTGGGTTAATGTGATTTGACACATCCCTTCCCATATTAGCTTTGTCCTGACTAGGATTTAAAGGTGTGATGATCGCATGCCTTAGCTGATGTCTCCTAACACCCACCCTACACTCTGGTGGAAACAGGGCAGTGTGGATTTCAGCATGCACTACACTGGGCAAATTGACGTTTGGCTCCCCCAGGCTCCAATATACACTATTTAGCATGTATGTAGTAAAACTTATCCTGTCTACACTGGAGCGTAAAACATGTTTGTTAGAAGTTATTAGCTAACGTGATTCAGAAAAACACCTTTTATCCTGGTCTAGACATACCAGAGATTAGCCTCTACAGTGGTATCACTGCCAAGTTTTGTTCATCTTCATGTGGAACATCTCATGAAAATGTAATACACTAATTTGCATATGTGAAAATAATTTGCATATAACCATAATTTCACCTTTACAAAAATGGCCTGGATTTAGTGCTGGTGAAGGCATCACCTATTTGACAGCACTGCTGAACAAAGCCCTCATTCTTCTCCGTGCTGTCAAGCCAGCAGGCCTCACCACTAATCTGGAGATGGATGGTGTTTCCCCTAATGGGGTAGCGAGGAGATGGGTGGTAATAGACAGCCCATTGGATGATTATTTTTTCAGAACTATAACGTAGCCAGTTTGTCAGCTAGACAGTTTTTATGCAGTGTTGGTGTAACTGTGGTGGGTCCAGGATATTGGAGAGACAAGATGGGGGAGGGGATATCTTTTATTGGACTAACTTCTGTTGTACACAGAGACCTTCTTCACCAAGAAGAGCATTGTGTAAGCTCAAAAGCTTGTCCCTCTCACCAACAGATGTTCAACAAAAGATATCACCTCACCCACCATGTTCAGCTAGTTTTTAATCCATTTAGTATGTGCTGCTTTGATTTTGTACAGTGCTATTTTAAAATCAGAATTCCATACAGTAGCCAGTCAAAAACATGAGTCTAAATATCTCACACTTATCTTTATCAACCATATTTGTAATTTCATCAAAAAACAGTATCAAGTTTGCTTGGCAAGATCTATTTTGCACAAAACCATACTGAATGCTGCCATTCTTTAATTGTTTACTGACTGCATCCAACCTCAGCCTTTCCATTATTTTACAAGGGATCGATGTTAGGCTAATCATATTAGAGTTACCTGGGTTGTCCCATTTACCCTTTTTAAAGCCTGATACTACATTGCCCCCTCCCCCCCCCTTTTTTTAAAGCAGTCCTCAAACTTCTGGAACAGTGCAAGATTTTAAAAATTCCACATCAATGGTTAAGAGAACTCCTCAGCCAATTCTCTTAAAACTCTTGGGTACAAGTTATCCAGTTTGCTGATTTAAGACTACTTAACTTTAACAGCTGCTGTTTAACATCCTCCCTAGTTGCTGTTGGAACAGAGTATTTCATTATCACTGTAAGATGTGAATACATCATCTAGCTTCTTTCGAAACACAGAAGAAATATTTATTGAGCACTTTTGCCTTTTCTGAATCAATATATACAATTTTACCATCTCTATCACTAATCAACCTAGACTATTGTTAGGATTTCTTTTTTTTGTGATATAATTAGCAATGCCATCCCCCTCCAGCAAATACCACCTTTACAAAACAGCTCTTCCTAGAAAGGTCTCCATGGTCCTGTGGACAGGGCCAAGCACTGCTATAACCTGGTTTAGGCCTGTTATCTCATTCGCTGGACCACCATCACTGGAGGGTGGACGGACAATACGGAAACTGGAGGTGGAAGCCTGGGGCCTGATGTTAGAAAACAGCACAAAAAGGTCTCTGCATGGAAGCTGACCCAAGAAAGGTCAGAGGAGCTGCTGCCTGCTTCGAGCGTAGACCACCACACCCCTTTGCTATGCTTATAGCCTGGGAACTCTCAGGAGTCTCTCTCCTTATGCCAATAACTCACAGGAGGTTTGGGTTAGGTCATTTCCTATTTACTGCCCTGGGGTCCTGCATGCAGTCATGGAAATAGTTAGTGCTTCCTAGTGAGTACTGGATAGGGCTCCTGTTTGGATCTTATCCCGACATGGGAGCTCACAGTTCATCAGCAAGGCAGTTCCTCACTCGTGTCTTAGGAAGAGGGCTAGAGAGTGGTCCAGCCAGTGCCCCTGCCTTCCCCTTGATGCAGAGAGGGTCAGCACTATAGGAAACCTGCATGTTTAAAATCCAGAAAACATGAGGAGAGAATGCTTGCAAGGGGACTAAGTGACAAGCTTGGGGATTGCAAGAGCACTCTCAACCCAGGACCAGGATCACTGAAGGATTTGGTGAGGGTGGGGAGGGAAATATGGAGAGTATTTTTCAATTACACCATTGGCAAGAAAGCAAATACGAGCTATTTTCAGGCTCTACAGGAAATACAACACACAACAAGCTGTGCCTCACCCCACTAACTCAAAAGTAACACATTTCGCAATCTCCATCTAGACTGGATGTTCCACGAACCACATAAATGTCCAATCCTTTCCTGAATCCTCCTAAATTGGCCTCAAATCGATTTGGCAGCAGCACATTCTTCTAGACCTCCTATCCCCAAAAGATGTTTGTAACGCTGACCACAATGGACAGGACACATCTATTAAGAACCACCCACCCTGGCCTGTGTACTGCAGGTCAAAAAGTCACAGCAAAAGAGAACTTCAACATGGATGACTAACTGGTCTAATGAGGGTCTTTTAAGGCAACTACACAGGTGTATTCCCAACATAGCCCTTAAATCCATGACTAGAGGGCATAGGACAAACTCCTACGGATACTTTATTTTTGATACTTTCACTAAAAAAATACATAGGAAATGAAACACAAAACATGATAGGAACAAATGGAGAAATTCAGAGTGTTGGCTGAAAGTGCATCATTAACTCCTTCTACTGTGTCCCTGATCCCACCCCATCCCCAAAGCACAGAATCAACAGCACACAAAAAGAGCAGCACCAGCCAAAACGCAGACATTGTGGGAGGCTTGGCAGGAGCGACTGAGGCTTCTGATCCTTGAGAGCAGAGAGCACCAGAGATGTAAGACGGGCTGAAGGGGAGGGCAGTCTACCAAGCCAATGGATGAACCTGCAGCTTCAGCTGTGGAGCTTGGACTGTATGTTTTGCACACAGGATTACGGGCATGAGAAGATGAGGTGTTAGGAGCCAAGGAAGTAAACAGCTGAGAGTAAAGGCATGAAAGGGGTTTGACATGCAAGTTCTAGCTGCCTTGTGTCTCGAGGCAGGGAATGGTTCTTATTCAGTAGTATGTGTACATTCTAAATTGATCCCAAGTCCTGTCCACCCTCCCATTTCTCAGTCACCAAGGGACCTGCTGGTTCTACTGTTCTGCAAGATGACAAACACTCACAGGGTTGTGGTGAGCAGCAGAGTGAGGTTTCTGCTGCCAGAAAAAGCTCTCTCTCCCATGACAAGTCCATCAAGCTTCTTGAAGAAAATACGACCGTGTTAAACACATTATTCTCCTCACCTCTTCCAATCTGTTTCCAGTAGGCAGACTGGGATACTGCAGTCTTCCCAACACCCCAATCTCCGTTTCTTCCTCCTCCACTATTACCTGGAGTGCCAGACCCTTCTCCTCCTCTGCCGCACCTGGGTCTCAGCAGTTGAAAGCATTAGTGTGTGATTTCTGTCCTTTGTACACGGGTCAATGTATACCATGCAGATGTAGCTCCAGCGTAGTGCACACTGGTCATCATCTGTACGGAAGTGCACTTGGTACATGGAACACTGAGCTTTAAACATTTCGTTTGTATGAGAATCTGAAGCTGGCACATCAAGAACAGTTTGGATTCCACCCTCAAACACGCAGGTAGCTCAGAGCTGCCAGTGACCCTGCAAGGACTGCAGGTGCAGAGGTGACTGTCAGATCAGCTGTAAGTACATATCTTCCTAAGCATTCATTAGGCTGTCTGACCAGCCAAAGCCAGAAGTCCAAGCATATCTGCTGTGTTGATAAAGTTAGCGGTTGGCAGAGGATGCAATTTCTCCTGATCCACCCAAGTACCTTTTTCTAGCTTCACATAGAGCTCTTGATTTCCAGTAGCTGCTGGGGTGATGTGTTTGTCCATGCAACGTATTTCAAAGCAGCGCAGAAAGAATGCTGCACTGGTGCCTGCAGTCCCTGCATCCCCAGCTGTCAGGAACAAGTTCCTGCAAACCACGTGAGATTCTCCTCTTTCAGCCTGTCCTTCTCAAGGAGTCTCTCTCACCTGGGCTTCTCCAAAGTCACTTCTCTCGAAGGACACAAACACCAGCATCACAACGCTGTGTCCCCAGTGAGGTCACCACTTCCCAGCTGTCAATGATGGGATCATAGCACTCAATGCTGCTCAGCAGCGAGTTGCCATCATACCTGCAAATGACAGAGGGATACAGGTGAGCAATAATTTCTGAGAGGGAGAGAGGGGAGTACGGAGCCCTGGATGGGAGCTTGAGGAGTTACCCTGGGCATTCGAAGACCCAAAATGCTGCTATAGCTGTGTGCACAAGGAAGGAGGGCTGAAATAAGATCAGCGCAGCAGTTCCAGAACGCCGCTCAGCAGTGTTGCAGCAGGTGGCACTGCTTGTGTAATTCACTATGGCGACACCATGGCCTTTCATTCTTTGGGAGCCAAAAGGGAAATGCATGGAGAGCCCCTGTTTTGAAGCTCTACTGCAGGATCTGCAGCCATTACACTAAACTCACTTGTATGCTGGCTATTAGTTTGCTTAGTGACAACAAGCCATCCCCCCCCCCACAACAGCCTGGGTTGGACACTCCCTGCCAATACGTTTTAAACATGGCTGTCCTTGTCTGCACTAAGGATTAAGTCTTGTTTAGCAGCATATCAGAGGACTCCTTTCCTACCACCAAGCAAGTTCCCAGTGTAGACAGCCCCTCAAAGAGCAGCAAGGCCCACCCTTCTTACCCAGCTATTGCATACAGCCGTCCCCTCAGCACGGTGGCACCCACGTAGCAACGAGGCGTTGTCATACTCGTCACAGTAGTCCAGGAATCAGTGCGAACGTTATAGGCTTCCACAGAGGAGAGATGTGCTGTCCCATCAAACCCACCAACAACGTAAATGTGATCGTTCAACAATGCTACTCCTGCTCCTGGAAGGGGAAGGGGAGTTATGCTGAGCAACAGAAACCAGCACATGATTATCACTGCAGCTAGGCTGGATGGAGTGCACTACCCATAATCGCAGCTCTATGGCAGGGATGCTGCTGCAATTACAGGGACGGAAAGGACATTTCTTACTTGCTTCAACTTTCTGCAAAATAGCTTGTTAGGGCTGAAGTGTTTCCTGATCATTCTTACCCCAAAGGAGACACTTTGGTGAAAGTTTGGTAAACTTTGTGGTTTTCATTCATCCATCCAACTGAAAAACAACTGGATTTCCCTGCTTTTAGTGGACAGTTTGGGCAATATGCATGGGGAGGGGGCAGGGCACTGGGCTCAGGCTGCAGACAGAGCTGAAGCAATAGCTCTAAACACACTCACCCAACTCAAGGGTGCAGAAAGGTTTAAACCCAATGGAACTGCCATGGTTCTACTGAGTGTGTGTGGGAGGCCATGCTGGGGGACTAAGTACAGAGGAGCAGTTTGGTGGCAGTACAAATGAGCGGATCCATTAATATGCACACATAGGCCTAATCCCTGCACAGTGAATGCATTCATCTCTAGCTGCTACTCAGCCAAATTGGCTGAAGTGGGGAGAATGGAACTGCTCTGCACCAAGCTGGAGGTGGAATTCCTTTACCCCATCCCTCTTAGACCTTCCACACACACAGCCAGGCAATATTTGGCTCTAAGGACATGAAGGCTGCTGTCAGTGATGCGGTGGCACTGAAGCACAGCGGAATTAAAATGTCAGTGTGAGCAGGTGCTGGTCCCACCTTGCTCCAAAATGACCATACTTACCGTATGAGGGCAAAGCTACCTTTTCCCTGGGGCGTGGTTTTCTGGTAACTCAAACAACAGAAAATAAACCTCACCCTAATCTCTTTCCCAGCCTGACTGTTCCTAGCCACACGACCTTTCAGATCTGGTGCAGCTGTGAAGCACCTACCACACTGAGCCACCAGAATGTGCTCAGCAGCTTTATGCAGGGTTCTAAATCTTGCTAACAGTGTAGATTAACAGCCGAGCCCTCGATAGATTCACAGATTCCAAGGCCAGAAGGGACCACTGTGATCATCTAGTCTGACCTTCTGTAGAACACAGGCCAGAGAACTTCCCCAAAAGAATTCCTACAGAAGATCAGTTAAAAACATCACTTCTTGATTTAAAAATTGTCAGTGATGGAGAATCTACCATGACCCTTGGTCAGTTGTTCCAATGGTTAATTACCTTGTAAAAATGTATATCTTATTTCCGGTCTGAATCTGTATCTCTAGTCAGGGTTGTAAATATTGCCACCTTGTTACAGTCAACACTATTAACTGTTTTACTGCTGATCATCTTCACAGAAACATCCAGCTACCCTGGGGTTCTATTCTGTACTCACCACCATAGTATCCGAGAGCCTTCCAGTAATGCATTAAGCCATGTGACTATAGATCTGTCACATATTGTTTGTTCTCTCATTTTCTCCCCAGATAGAGAAGCACATGAAAGGGGGTATCTTGGGTTGGTAGCATCTATTGTTTTTAAATATAGGTATACCTGTTGCTCTGTGTTTATAGTAGAGGAAGCAAGGGGAAAGAACTGTGCAGAAAGTGGTGAGGTTTTTGATAGTCCTTAGTTCCTGGGGGAGTTTGTTCCATAGTCTCAGGCTACCCCAGACAAGAGTTCTGTCTCCTCCAGAGATGAGCTTTACTCTTATTGTTGAAAGTTCAATTGTGCCAAACCATTGTGTGGGAGAGTAAAAAATGGTCAGCTACCTTTCTTAACTGTTGTTCTTCGAGATGTGTTGCCCATGTCCATTTTAGGTGTGTGCACGCCCGCATGCACAGTTGTCGGAGATTTCTGCCTTAGCGATATCCATAGGGCCGGCTGTGGTGCCCCCTGGAGTGGCACTCCCATGCGGCGGTATATTAGGTGCTGCCAGCCCCGTGCCCTCTCAGTTCCTTCTTGCCGGCAACTCCAACAGAGGGGTTGGAGGGAGGGGAGGAAATGGAATGGACATGATCAACACATCTCGAAGAACAACAGTTATGAAAGGAAGGTAACTGTTTTTTCTTCTTTGAGTGCTTGCTCATGTTGATTCCATTGTAGGTGACTCACAAGCAGTATCAATGGAGGTGGACTCAGAGTTCACAGCTTAGCATCTTGCAGTACTGCCCTAACGAAGTCAGGCCTGCTGGGTCAGTGCATAGTGGGACGAAAAAGGGTGGACAGATGACCATGTGGCTGCTCTACAGATGCCCTGGATAGGCACATGGGCCAGAACGGCTGCTGAAGAAGCCTGTGTCCTGGTAGAGTGGGCGGTGACCATCGCCGGGGCTGGCACCTTCGCTTGGTCATAGCAGAAGCGAATGCAGGCAGTGATCCAAGAAGAAATTCTGAGTGGATACCGGGCAACCTTTCATCCTGTCAGCCCCTGCGATGAACAACTGCATCGACTTATGGAATGACTTAGTCCTATCCACATAGAAGGCCAGAGCCCTCCTAATGTCCAGGGCATGTAGCCTGCGCTCCCCTTCTGACTTACCAGTCTTCTTTCCAAAGCCACATGAGTAAATGTCCTTGTTTCAATGAAACTGAGAGACTACTTTAGGAAGAAAAGCCGGGCGTGGCCTTAGCTGGACATTGCTCTTGTAGAAGACCGTGTACTGCGGCTCCAAGGTGAGCGCCTGAATCTCGGATACCCAGCGGGCTGACATCACTGCAACCAGGAACATGACATTCCAGGAAAGGAGGAGAGAACAGGAAACCAAGGGCTCAAAGGGAGGACCCGTGAGCTGAGACAGCACCAGATTCAAGACTCACGGAGGGACAGGGTCTCTGACTTGTGAGTAGAGGCGCTCCAGGCCTTTAAGGAATCTGGCCACGATATCCTGAGCAAAAACAGACCTACCCTGGAAAGGTGGGTGGAAGGCCGAGATGGCTGCTAGATGGACCTTGATCGATGAGAGGGACAAGTCCTGGAGCTTGAGATGCACAAGGCAGTCCAGAATAAGCGGCAGTGAAGCCCGCTCAGGACAAAACAGCTTTGTCCGCAATCCAACAGGGGAACCATCTCCACTTGGCCATGTAGGTCGCTCTGGTGGAGGGCTTCCTGCTTCCCAACAGAACGTGCTGAACCTCCACCGAGCACGGCTGCTCCTGCGCGTTTAACCACGCAGCAGCCAGGCTGTCAGATGTAGTGCCGCCAGATGTAGTGTGGAAGACTGACATGGTCTGGGACAACAGGTCTGACCTGAGCAGTAGCTGGAAAAGGGTTGCAACCGAGAGGTCCAGGAGGGTGCTCAACCAGCGTTGGTGCGGCCACACCAATGCCGTGAGGATGATCCTTGCCCTGTCCTGTTTGATCTTCATGAGGATCCTGGGAAGCAACGTTACTGGAGGTGTACTTCAAAGCCCCCGACCATGAGAGCAGAAAGACGTCAGACAGGGCTCCTCTGTCCATGCCCCCAATTGAGCAGAAGATGTGGTACTTCCTGTTTTGTCTGGAAGCAAACTAGTCCATCTGGGGAGTTCCCCACCTGTGGAAGATGGAGCTGACCAACTCTGGATGAAAAGACCCCTCGTGGCAAGAACGTCCTGCTGAGGCGATATTGTACTGTAGACAGAAGTTGCAGAGCCAGAGGGCTTCCTGGCAAAGGGCAGACGACCTAGCTCCGCCCTGCCTGTTGATATAGAAGACTGTAGCCATGTTGTCCATCAGGACCTGTACCACCCTATCTTGTATATGAGGTAGAAAGGCCTGGCAGGCCAGTCAGACCGCCCTGAGTTCCCCAACATTGATATGAAGGGAACGATCTTGACTGGACCAATGGCTTTGAGTGTTGAGATCACTGAGGTGGGCTCCCCAGCCCAGGTCCGAGGCATCGGAGACAAGGGTCACCGATGAGGATGGGGCCGCAAAAGGGAACACCTTCCAACACTGATGCGGGATCCTGCCACCAGACGAGGGACGCCAGGACGCTGTCTGGAATCCTGACCACCCGGTTCATGCTGTTGGGGACGTAGACCAACACCAGCCATGCTGACCAGGTCTGAGGCGGAGTTGTGAGAGCCAGACCATGTAAGTACATACTGCCATGTGGCCCAGCAGCCTCAGGCACGTGTGGGTGGTGGTGAGTGGGTGGGCCTGCAAGCCTGCGATAAGATCCAACATGGCCTGGAACTGAGTCTTGGGGAGGAAAGCCCTGGCCCGAGTGGAGTCAAGGACCGCTCCGATGAACTCTATGTGTTATACCGGGGTTAAGGTTTACTTTGTTTAGTTTATTATAAACCCCAGGTCGCGACAGTTGGAACAGACCAGGCCTTTTCCAATGCCCCCAAGCAAAGGAGGTCTTTGACCTCCTGAATGAGGAGCTGCTCGTGAGAAGGGTCCCTGAAGAGGGACAGGGGAGAAGTGGGAGGGGTGGTCCGCTGTAAACAGCAGGGTATAGCCAGAAAAAAATGTATCTAGCACCCAGTGGTCCAAGGTGACACAGGACCAGGCTGACCGGAAAGGGCGGAGGCAGTTGAGGAAAGGGAGGGTTTGGATCCAGTGCATCCTTGAGCGCACCCTCAAAATGACTGCTTCTGGCCTCCCTGACTTCTGGGAGAGTCAGGTTGAGCAGCCGGATGGGAAGAGGATGGGTAGCGTCTCTTAGGTGCTTTGTACTTGTTCTTTCTCCTGTAGGAGCCAGACCTGGGAGCTGGGGGCCTAGACTGCGTCTGAGGAGGAGGCAGAGGGCAGAATGGCTTCCTGGGCTGCTGAGGGGTGTGCAGACCCAGAGAACGGAGGATGGCTCGGGAGCCTAGAGTCAGTCAGGCTCAACAATGCGGCTAACTCTTGGGCACGATCCTGTGGGAGGGCTCCTGTGAACTTCTTAAGGGAGTCCCACAAGTTAAAGGTTTTAGAGTAGCAGCTGTGTTAGTCTGTATCCACAAAAAGAAAAGGAGTACTTGTGGCAGCTTAGAGACTAACAAATTTATTTGAGCATAAGCTTTCGTG